TCAGTGGTCTTCTGCGGGCACTTCATGGAGGCCAGTTGGGACTGACTGGCCCCACCCATGACCTCGCCGCTACTACCTGGATGGAGTTTAACGTCGTACCCAGGACAGGTCGATCTAAATTACTTCTCTTCGAGATCTCAGAAATGTTTGAACCAAAACGGACATGCAGTTCTGGAGAAAGAGTCCTTCAAAGAGTGCACCTTTAATGTCATTTGACTTGTCACCTGATGACATCAACCCCTATTCACATACCAATTCAATAACCAATTCCAAACCAATTGCTTTTGCCTGGAATCCAATTGGGTTCAATTGGTTTGAATAGTAAATTCTGACCTTTTCTCAATAGGACCATTTCAAACAAATTGATGCCATTTGAATGCAAATTCACAATCCAATTGTAACCAACCAAAGAACCAATCAAAAACATTTCAGTACCAATTCAAACCAATTGAGTCCCATTTGAAAACTCCATTGGATGGGGAAAACAAGCTGAAAGCAAACCAATTGGAACCAGTTGCATCCCATTTGAAATTTCCAATTGATCAGGAAAACAAACAGAGAAAGCATACCAATGATTTGATTCCCATTGGAAAATTCCAATTGATTGGGGAAAATAAACAGCAAAGAAAAAATGCCAATTGAAACCAATTCTTGGGGGAAAACAAATGGGAGAGAAAACATACCAACTGAAACCAATTGAGCACTGATTGATTGCAAATTAGACCCAGTTCATTCCAATTAAATCCAATTAAAAAATCACATGGTTTGAATATAGGCCATTTTTAGTAGGGACATCAGATCAGGTCAATCGCAGTCTACCGTACAACCCTTCTGTTTCCAGCTACATTTATACTCAGACTACAGCCCAATCTCATTTTATATCACAAAATCTTGGCCCCTCTGCAAATAAAAGGGACAACGTGCTGATGATATCACTATGCACGGCAGCATGTATCCCATCCCATGTAGGAAACGTACGCAATATGGATGCTAGAACGTGTAGCCAAAGTGAATTGAATCACACCATTATGGTGTAGGGGTGTACCCTTAGAACAATATACCAGCAATTCACGCCTGTTATAATACCTTGAAAATTAAAATGAATAAAATTCGATATGTTGATAATATTGATATATAAAACCTGATATATCAGTATTGGTCAAAATACAATATATCAACGCTACCTACTTGGAGTCATCAACACCCCTTAAGTCCTCAAATTCCCTTAGATTGACACGTTTCTTGACACCCAAGCTGTTCGTGTTGCCATTTACAGTGGAGCAACAGGCAACGTGGTCCATGAAACCTTAGCAGAGAGATTGAGTTTGAAATACACAAGAGCTCACAGTCTGCCCATGAAGCAGATGCATCATTGGAGAGACCAACACTGATAAGTGATGGGAGGGAATTTAACTTCGAGGCTTTAGTCATTGAGAACCTTGACATAGAGATTCTCACAGGGATCCGTTTCATGGAAACAAATGACATTGCAATCTGCCCAGCAAAATGTCAAGTCATGCTAGGCGGTGGCACTGTACACGTGTGGATCTATTAAAGAATCCAAAGATTGGCACAAAGTGCGTCGGGTATACGTCATACGTGCCCCTTCCCACATCACAACCATGTGACAGGGGAACTCCCACCAGTCCTGATGACAATGTGTTGGCATTAGAACCTCACACACCTGTACCAGCAGCAGCAACCCTACCAAGCTCTGACCCTCACCCACTCTCATCCAAAGCATGGTGAGAAGAGTGTGTATCACAAATCTCACAGATGCACCTTAAGTCCTCAAATGCAAGGAACAATTTTGCCAGGTCAGCCCAGGATGCGTTTCTACCCCAGTCAGATGATCTTCAAGCCGTGATTCACAAACAAGACACGTTAAGTGCTGCACAAACCTCACACCCAACAACAGTGCACTCTTCAATCCCTGCACACTCTGCTTCAACCTCACTGGACCCCAATGGCATGTCCAACCCTGACATGCGGTCATGAGGTGCATGTACAGGCTACAGTGGAGCCTCCAGCCCCTCTGTAGCCTGCCTCAGTATGCCAAAGACAAGCTTTTGTGCACTTGATGAGCTAGGGATGCAGAGAGTCTTTGCCTACCCAGAGGACATTGGATTCAACGTTGAATATCTTAATTCCTAAATTATTTCTGATGGAGAAGCAGTTTTTGCTGTGCACATATTTTGAAGAAATCCAAAACAGAGGTTTCATAGTTTGAATTAACAGAAGGGGCCTTGAGGCTCCATCTCGCACAGTAGTTAGCTTTTCATAGTTAGAAAGAGAAGAAAAAAAGTAGCCACAGCACTTGTAATACAGTATCCTCTAGTGATGTGTTATCTTGTGCCCTTGGGTGCCACCATCTTCATTGCCCCATGTATCACCGTTGTATTAAAGTTGTTCCTGTCATTTGATAAGTCTCATATTTAGCTGTAATTCATCAGGAGTGCCCCTTTACTGCTAAAGTGGTGCAATACATCCTTCATTTACTATCATTATGACTGCGCAATATTCAGAACTGGATAACTCCAAATTTCTTCAGATTCAACCCCAAGAAGACCAGCTTTCTTTTCATTCACCACATTTTAGGTATAAAATTGTAGTTCATAAGATGCGGGTTGGTGATACTCCCAGTCAATACACATGAAACCTGGTATTGTGTTCAGCTTGTACACAAATAAGAAAATGAATGTGTACTTCCAACATCTTTCAGACATACATGTACATACAGCTACGGCGCATGCATTCATCACACGTAAACTCAATTTCTGTGATAGTTTATTCTGTTGTCTTTATCAAAATACCCTTTTGCTTTTGCTGAGACCACTCTCAGTTGATTGGTACTGTATATAGAATGCCACTGCACGCCTGCTTACTGGTCATATCACTGACATTCTTTACAGACTTAACTGGCTGCCAGTTAAATGCAGAATACAATTCAAAATCATTCTTACATTTTCAGCCAGTGTGGGAGTCGAGTCCACAACCTTTGAGGCCGAGTCCAAGGCCAGGGTCTTCAAGGCTAAGGCCAAGACCAAGTCATTGCCAGTCGAGGCCAAGGCCATCGTCTCCAAGGCCAAGGCCAATTATTACACATACATGTGTAACATAACTACTTTGGTACTGTTGGCTGGCACACAAGAATCATCTAGACCCACAAAAAACTGTTGTACATGACACTACACACATATCCCCAATTATTTTATCTAAAGAAAACAACGAAGTGGTGTGTTTCATTGATTAATTACTTTCAGTTTAACAATGTAAACAACCTGGTAAAGACACCCAGGTGGGCATTATTAACTTGTGTTTGTCAGATGTTGCAAAGCTCAATTTTTGTATTTCTTTCCACAAAGTACGGCCCCCCACCATAACATAAAGAGAAAAATATAAAATCTTTAATTGCTCTCAATACATACAATTCCCCACAAAATAAGGAATGAAAGAAAAAATTAGGAGTGCTTCCAAAAATGATAATCAGTCATTTTCCAGATCGCTAAAATCATTCAGTCAGATTGTAGCTGCAAGATGTCCTCAAATTCTGATGAAAAATGGTCAGTAGTCCGCCTTATGTGTTGAAGATACAACCAAATTATTTTCACAATCTTTTAATTTGGACTTACAGCATCGACCAAAGTGACAAGGGCACTCTTCCTAGTTCTGGATCAGTTTAACCAGTACCAGATGACGATAAAAACTTCTTCACAAACAAAAAGTAACTGTACATGAAATCCAGTTTGCAGCTAGAACCATTATAACAAGCTGATTTTCTAATGAAGAATTTCTTAAATCAGAGAAAACTATTTCACAAATAAGAATACCAGTGAACTAAAACATATAACTTGCATGAATTTTGGCTCAACTTTTTCAGTTGTGCAATGAGCTATCAACGATGCTATCCCTCATGCCGCACAGTTGACGAAACCATTACGTATACATTTCTGCTACGTCTGTAGTTGAGTTCACAATGTACATGTATGAATGCAAGTAAACAATGCACAATCCGAAACTAGAACAAAATGTGCACTCAGTTATTAGCCAATTTTAACCAGCCATCGCACGTGCATGCCCAGCTAGTGCCGGCCATTCAGAATATAACATTGCACTTTCAGTGAGTACATGTACATGTAGCCTAATTAAAATTAAAAGCTATCCTTTTCAAGCAACAATCAATGAAAACAATATCTAGGTACCATACCATGTGTTTGTACACAAAAGATCCATGCACATGCACATTGCAAATACTTTGTCAGGATAAAATTGGGGGGGGATGGTAAAAGCTGAGAAAACTGACTAAAAACGGGTGGTCTTGAACTGGCCTCAACTGATTCTTGTCTTGTTGAGTTTAAAAATTACTCTTCTGATTTACGTGTACATGTTCAATAAATTCATATAAGTACATTTGCATGTAGTATTCACATTTTAAAAAAATAAAACCGATTTCGATCAAATACCGGTATGTATGCACATTTTCACATACATGTGCTCTAAGTTCGTGCTCATTCATGTACAAGGAGCATGTTGGTTAGACCCGATTGTTTGGTACACTGGCGTGTGTTGTACTGGTTTTCCACTTTACTTTTGTACCCTTTGCCGTGTACATGTGCTTGTGAACCTGTAAGTATGTACACATTCTTAAACATTCCATCCATGTATGGTACATGTGTACTTTACTTGTAGGGACCACAGATGCACATACCTGGCATGTTTGATAAACATACTGTAGTTATTATGAAAACCCCAAACTGGAGATGAATCACACAAGTGTCTCTACATGTGCAATCCTGTTCAGACTTTCATAATGAATGAAAAGGTCCAGTGCTGGACAGCTAGGGGACAATGCAGAAGTGTCTTTCACACAGAATTGAATTAAAATGTGCAATAGTAACATGAGCGGTCTGTTTTGACACAGATTTAACTGGTTCTGTATGAATTGCAGGTTTTGGAAAGAAAGATTAATGTTCACCACTTGTAATTCTGATTTCTTTCAGATTATCAGATGGTTGATTTCATAGAATGGACTACGTATACATCTCAGTGCTTGTGTAGCATGAAAACAAGAAGTGACACAACAGGAATCACAGAATTGCTATCAAACTTGCGTGAACAGAGACTAAACAATGAATTTTAGTACTGAGAACAAATGACAACCAATACATTTTGTATTCCCACCTTTTGTTACTGCAATAAAATAGTGGAATGAAGCCACCTCTATGTAAACCATGAGTAGAACCGGCCGAGACAGTTACTCCAGTCGACCAATCGACTCCCTGGATTCCTTTGAGCATCTTGAAGGCATTATAAACAGCCAGTCGGATGTTGAATTTGGAGCTGACCTTCCCTTTGATGAATTCCCTCCAGAATTCCATCTTCACCCAGATGATTTCTCACTGGATGATCTGCATGGCCATAGAACTATCCAGGAAGAGTGCTTGACCAATGAATCCCTAAGGGGTGAGATCCTACAATTTGATAATGAGCATGAAACAAGTGGCCTTCTGAATGAAAGTGAGCTTTTGAACAATGTCGATCGGTGTAGTGATTCAGGAAGCAAGTGTCCCAGTGACAGTTTTCTTAAAGAAGAGAACCTCTCCTTGCAGGGATCTTCCACAGACGTGTTGCAGAGGTACATGGAAGCCACCCCAAGGCTTGGCACCCCCCCACTGGAACATATATACAGCAATACATCTGTCAATGGACTCAGTGACGAATCTTCCAGGCACTCAGATGACGTTTTTAACCATCATGAATCACTTCATAACAGCAATGATGAGCAATACTTGGAGAGTTTACCCCCAGAAAAATCAGATGAAATTGGAAATTGCAGTAGGGACATGAGCAATGGATGTAGTGATGGAGGTAGTATGGCAGTAGATTCAAATGATCTATCAGATGGGGCTTCCATGGAACTGAACAAAACTGTCGTTACTGTAGATAGCCATTTCCCTGGAAAACCTTCTGCAGCAGCTGCAGAAGAAAACTTTGGAGATGATCCAGCTGATGGTAAAGATAGTGATTCTGCCAGTATGAGCATTGGTCAGTTTGTGCCCAATGCTGTAAACAGAAATCATATTCAGAGACCTTTGGGAAAAATAGTTAACTGCTCCTCCCAAAAGAATGAGAGAGACTTTGTCACACCTTCTGAGCTGAAAGAATCCCACCGAGGATCTGTGGCTAGTACATCTGCCCGATCATCTTTTAGGAACTCACAAAGGATCTCAACCGCAAGCTCCTCACAAAGGGACTGCAACTCTCCAAGGTATTCTCAAAGGTCTGAGGACCTCTCACACCACTCAAGACACAAACAGTCTTCCTCAAATAGCCCTGTGGTTCCTAGACTAGAACTGCACAGGGCTTCAACACCTAGCAGTGTAAACAGTCTGTCCTCTGAACCGTCTAAGCTTGACCTCTCACTCAGACTGGAGGAAGAATCCAAGACTAGGCAACAAGCTAACGAGCTCATTGAGCAACTCCAAAAAAACTATGATGAGTTGCTTGGTAAATATGCACGGGCAGAGAACACAATAGACCTGTTGAAACTGGGGGCCAGAGTTAATCTGTATGGAGATAATCCAGCACCAAGGCAGAGTCTACAGGGGACACTTTCTCCTTTGCAGAGGCCCAGCGCTGTCATCTTTGGTCATCCTCAAAAGGCAACTATTTTGTCATCAAGGTGAAATTCCTTCTTTTCAACATTTGTGAAATATACGATGTGTGCATGGGAATATGTATGTAATAATGTTATGGGTTTGTTTGTTTTGCATTTTGCAGTGTGCAAATATCCACTTGTACATGTATGTTTTATTTACCAGGATTTTCTTTTTGACTGTACAGTGGTTCCGTTTTGTATCCACTCATGTGTACATGTGTACCCAAAAAAAGATCCAAAAAGATAATCTCTAAAAAAAAGTCATAAAATTTTTAATTTTGATTACAATATTGTAACTTTACAGCACATACATTTATATGTCCTCTGGTGTTTCTGGACAGCACATCACTCTAATTTCAACTTTGTTCAATGCATGTTTCCCTAGTAATTTGAAACGAACATTGGTCATGAACATTGTAAGATAGTGCTCCTTTGATATCCAGTATGTTTCTGTCTGCAGTTCCCATGTTTCTGAAGGTCAAACAGGAAGACAGCCCGCCAGTCAGACTGGGCGCTCTACAATAGATATGCAGACAAATAACAACAATGTGCATGTAGTGGGAACTACAAGAACTACACCCACCGAGATAACAAGGGTGTCTAATTCTAGTGGTTTTGCAGCAGGTGACGGCAGTCTGATGGCACTGATATTCCAAGTGAAGAACCAACAGGAAGAGGTAAAGAAGAATTAAGATTACTTGTCTGTGTTTAAATTGTCCAAAGTGTGCAAAGTGACTATAACAATTGAATCTATACATTGTGTGTAAGTTTTGTGATACTGCAATTAACCTCTAAATTCTATAAATTTGAGTTGAGTCATCTGAAAGGGAACTGCTTTGCAGTGACACAGAAACTAACAGTAGTTCTGAAGCTAGGCTTCTGTGACACAGACCTTTTACTTTCATCTGGTACTTTAATAATTGAACCAGCATACTTAAATTTGGAAGCATGCCAGCCAGATACCAGTGTGTTCTTAAATCCTGAAGTGGTCTAATGTGACCCCCTATTGCCAGATAGATTTAACATTTTCAAATCCTTTCTCAAGATATAGAAAAATCCAGAAAGACACCATTCTTGTGGGACCCTCACACTCGTGCATAGGTTTGAACTTGAGTGTGTGCATGCATTTTGGCAAGTCACAATATCCATTGGTCTGAGAGAAATGTTCTACACATACCAGCTTCCTGTACATGTGCACAGGCTGATCCTGCAGTAATGGGTTCTAATCCAGGTCACCAGATTAGTTTACAGTGGAACGCCACTATAACGAACACGATGGGGTCCATGCTAAATGATCGGTACAGCGGCCATTCGGTAAAGCGAAATTAACTGCCAAACGTTTTGTTGCCATGTTGAATAGCGCCCTCTCTTGTCTAACTGAAGTGCACCCTCTTGTGATACTATGGTTCACTGTTTTCGTGATTTTTTGCCGTTGCATTGATGTTTAAGGTTTCTAGAAATGTGTCCGTTAATTATTTTCTTTTTTATTTAATCTTGAGTTACAAAATTGATATCAAGTTTATCCTAAAAGTTGTGATGCTACTGCTAGGGATCAATCTCTGATGCATGCTGTGGTGAATCTCGGTTGATTTGTGTATCAGCGGCGCCTTCTTTAGTGCAATGACATGGTGCACGTATGTGCGGTTTTCTTCCGCACCCGATCATGCGGAGTCGCAAAACCAGTGTCCATTCAATACCATTGACAACTAGTGGCTTTCCCTTCTAATCCTTGGGGAAATAATGGCCACTTGTCACTTTCCAACATACATGTACAAATCACCGACAGGTTTATCATGTTGACGTTTGGGAATTACTAACGGCAACTGCATAGTGTTCGATAGGTTCTGTGCACAAATTATCGGGAGCCAAGGACGATGTTCGGTACAGCCGAATGTTGGGTATAGAGGTGTTCAGTATAGCAGCCTTCCATTATATATATGACATAATAACTAGTGTACATTTGCTCTGAGAGAAAAACATGCTACTTTGTACAATAACATTCTACATGGACTGACTGATTGTATCTTATATCCCCTACAAAAGCCTGCTTCATGGAGAAAAACTGACTTTCATTAACCCTACAGGTAATTTAAAAGGAGTGGGGTGTTTAGGTATGTATTCTGTCTCTCCTCCCCTCCCATCTCAGCAGGTTTGCATGCACAAATCACATGGAGGTTTTTGTTTGTAAAGGTATTCCAAGTTTACAGTATGGGTAATTCTGTGCCCTTTCAAACATCCTTCATATGTATATACATTTCTGATACGGGTGAAAGCTGAAAATGGTGGGTAGACTAATTTATTTTTGCCCGCAAATGTATTTTTTACATTGTAAAAACAAGATAACAATTACCTCTTTGAATCTGGAAATTGTGGGCCCCTATAGTCCTAAATTTGTATTTTTTTTTCAGCTGACATTCAACCTTGAGAGTCATTATTAGCAAATTTGACGGAAAAGGGTAACAATTTTTTTTTTAATATGCAAGAACTTAACTATGTGTCAAAATATTTTGTACGGTAATCAGAATCTCAATAGAGATATGGTGGAGAGCTACATGTAACAAAAGCACCTAGACCCCCGAAAAAAATATTTAAAAAAATCACAAATAAGTTCCTGAAAATGGACAAAAAAGTGGGAAATTGATACACTGTCTTGAATCACATGGCTTCACCAAAGCAGTTTGCTGTCACAGGCAATGTCATTGACAACTGTGTGGGGGATGACAGTGTTGGAATTGCAATCATAAAAATATCAGATGAAGTGTCAGCAAAACTCCCACTGTGAGGAAAGGCAATGGCCAACTAGTATGTGATTCCAAGGAACTTGTTGCCACTGAAAAGAAAGTGACAGCTGGCAAATTGGTGAAAAGGTCGTCAGAACCTACCAAGTTTACAACTGGAATCAGCCAAGATGGCAGACTGACATGCAAGTGAATCACACATGTCATGTATTTCCCATGCATTGAGTCCTCCAGACTCCAAAATTGAAGGCACTGAAACACAAATTCATAAAACAGAATGAACATCCAACAGAGAGAGCTTCATCAGAGCCAGCATGGTTGTAGACATTTCAACAAAAACAGGTAGCCAACATGGGCAATTTCATGAAAGGAATGGTGGAGCAAAGACTTCCAGTTGAATTATTTCCAGTGTGGGCACCACCAGTACTACGGTAAAAATACCGATGGAGTTTAGCATCACAAGCCTTGTGTAAAGTCTTAGTAAAAGCTTGGGCTCCGCTGGCCTTCAAAATAAGGGTGAACAACCACTAACTTCAAGGTAGTGTCCTATTCATGAGGTTTTGACTCTGATGAAGATAATTTGCCAGACAATGAGAACATTGGGAAAAAAGACCCCAGTTCCAATGCAGAATCTAAGCCAATATAATCAACTATAGACTGCACCAGTTTGAGGACTTTGGAATGAACTGGAATCTGAGGAGGGAGAGGTACATGTATGCAAGGAAGATTCTTGTACACAGCACGGAACTGCAGCCCTGGGCATGACAGAATTCCAACAAATGGTTGATGGTTTAGCCGGATTTTAAATACCAAAGGGGCCACTGGACCCAATGTTCAGCCAGAACTTGCAGTAATTGTCTGTGATCCAATGGTTTTAGTTCTTGATAAAATTGGTTTTGGGGGAAGTGAGTTGCGGACCCAGCGTGACGGCTACGGTCGCTCGCCACCGGGGATTGAAGAGCTCTACTTTTCTCGGGAGACAGACTCAAGTGGACTCCAGTGAATTTTCATATAATTTATTCAAGCCTCCAGAATTGTACAATCAGGTGTTGTTAATATTTGAGCAAAGCAAAAGAAATAAAAATAACCCCTATAGGAAGAATGGAAAATAACAATTTACAAGTGGTGTTCTTCCTAATGTACATTGAGCAGATATCTAGCAATTACACGTTGTTATGGGGAAGTTATACCCCCCTTCAACTGAAGTACATGTGAGTAATTTATATAAGGATACTTTTCTAAAGTTTGATACCAGACATCTTTACAGTTACAGTTAAATACAGGGTTCAAAATTAGTCGCTCGCCGTTCCCAGTCCCTGTCACAGAACAGATGTCCCCAGGGGAATAATCTAAGGGTTGTAATTAGATGGAGCGACTTTACATTATAAAAACTCTACATTATAGACAATGATGAAATGCACGCACGATGCATGTCGAGATGTAAATAAATGTATATGTACATGATATAATACAGCAACAGACACATTGCATAACAGCACTGTACACACGATGTATTGTACATGTATATGTGTCCTGATGTTCAGCACGTACATGTAGATGGACATGTTTATTATACAAAGTACAGCGTACACGATGGAATTCAACAACTGATACCCATACTGCCTCTCCCTACAAAGCTTCATATTAAACACATTTCTGTGTATGCACCCCACCGAGGAATGCACATAAAGCATCTTGGTAAATACTTCTTTTACATCATTAGAGGTTGGGCACGAAATAGTCATGAGAAACATACAAAAAGTTAACAAATTTACATCAGATATTGCGGCCGCTTGCCGAATGAATCAAGCGTTTCAGAGAGAGATCGCAGAACTGTTGTATTACGTTGGATAGTCATAACTTTGTCTACATATTAATACGCTGAGGAAGAATTCCTCGCACAGAAATATTTGGCCTGGATGTGCTTTCATACTCTCAAGTTATAAAGTTCAAGGAATTCAAGCGTATTTTAGATGATACCAAATAAAGTAGCTCTATTTATGCAGCGGAGGTTCACCAGCGGTGATCTGCTCGTAAGCGGGAACCACAGAGGTCAGAAGTCCTTATCATTTGACATAATAATATGTAAATAAAGAAGGTATGCATAATTGCGTTTACATACCGATTTCTGCATAAATTAATAAGTTATTGTCCGATAACAATTATCGAGGTCACCGTCACTAATTTGCAAAAGTCTGGTAGTGCCCGCTTCTAACTCTGAGATTTGGCATTCTGTGAATGCCAAAATGAAATCTGACTTGGCCCTGTAACACCACAAAGCTTAGTGCTTTAAGGCATTATTGCAAACGTTACTCTGCTGAACCAAGTCATAGTGACGTTGAAAACTAATGTACCTTTGGATGCAAAGCATGTTTGGCCCAAATGAAGAAAGAGTTGAGCCTGCAGATTGCCTCATTTCCATGACTTAAACCAAAGGAGAAAGGAAAGTTCCGAGCTAGGCTATGTAGGGCACCTACATTGTATAAACCCTTATGCAGTTGTGGTGGACCATTCACAGGCTTGCTCTTTGGTGGTGACTTATTGAGAGTATCTCAACTGAACGGAGAAAGATGGGCAAAGTCATGTTCAGGTGTTGATCACACACAACTAAATGAGCAAGGATACAATATAGATTGGCTGTTGGCTGGAACAGTCTGTTCCTCTGGTTAAAAGTATTTAATTCAATTGACAATTTTCTTTGAATGTTACCGTTGGCAAATAGTGTTTTAAAAGAAAACCACGCCCCCAGAAAACTATTTTTAATGCTAATACACTGTAAACAAGTATGTTGTGCTTGTAAAATGAACAAAAACATTCAAAATTACAAATGTGACTCCCCCAACCATTATTGCTTTATTGAAACTTGTGCATACGTGGTAACCTGTTAAAAGCTGTTTTCAAGGGGCTGTGTTGCATAAAACTTGTAAACCTTAGGAAAAAAGGCAGGGGAGAATTAGAAATTTGAATCATGCAAAAAACAAGCAATAAGTCTGTGTGCAGAAGTAAGAGCAAAACTTAAGGAAGAGAGCAATAAAATAGTATGACCTACACTAATAAGGGAATTAATGTGTGCTTGGCTGGTGCGTTTAAGACTGGCCTAGCACATATTTATTCCCATTCATAAATATGTTTTTCTTGAGAGAGTCAAAAGAAGTCAACATACAATGGATTTCCAACGATTCTGTTCTAAAACTTTACTTTCATTTTTCCAAACACCCCATCCATTTTATGTATATTCCTTTTGAAAGTTGTGCAATAAAATCCCTTTCAATGAACTTGGGGCGCTCATGGCGCATCATGTACACACAGACTCCCGACCAATCAGACCCCATTAAACTGTCTCTTATCCATATGCCAGTGCATGATTCACACAGCGGTCATTATCACTTCTGAGTGGGCATTATCAAATGTTAATACATGGTCACAGGACGTGTTTCGACCAATAGGAATAGAAAAACTGTCTTGAGGTATTTATGAATAGATGATAACAATAGTTGAACATCAGAACAGTGGAAATCTAATAGACCAAAGAACTGAACAAAATTAGTAAAGTGCACTTAAAAATTATACCGTCACTTGATATTAATACACGCAGTAATCATGAAGTTAGAATAAAAGACAACAGGAAATTAAACTTTAAGAAGGTATTGAAGTTACTCTTTAAAAGAACAGGCAAAACAAGGTGCACTTTTATCAAACAAACCACAACATAAACACAAACAGATAATACAAGAATTAGATTTCACATGGAAATCATTTTTCTGTTTTAGCGCAAAACATTTCAGGTTTTTTTTGTCGTAGGATATGCATTTGCAGAAAACAGAATAAGTAATGCATGAGAATTCACTTTTAGCAGTTCACAAGGAGACCGTTTGTCAATTTTGTGCAGATTGATTCCTTTGGGCTACTCCTTCAAGAGGAGCAGCTTCCTCTTGAAGAACAAAAAGCAGGAGTGGATCGGCTGAGGACAGATCAGGGCAAGTTGGAAGCAGACTACATGCAAACTAAGGAAGAGTATAGTGCCCTCCAGCGTAGAAATAGTCTACTCAGCCAAGGCCCAGAGATGACTTTCGACCCAGACAGGACACTAGAGGGTGAAATCTTCCAGCTGGGTATGAAACTTGATGATATAACCGAGATAGTCCAGGTAAGGATTACATTCTAGGGCTGCATATTTATCTTAGCTTACATGTACTTTATGTCTAGTGGCTGAGAATTTCTTTTCTTTGAGTTGAATTTCGAGTTTCAAGTTCAACTTTCAATTTTTTAGTTGATTTTTCAAGTTTATTTTCCCGGAAGGGGGACCCAAATCCCCCCACAAAAAAACCCAAATATCCCAAATTGGCATATATCACACCTACCAGTACATGTACATGCTAGTGCTACTAGTGTTGTATCCAGGGAGGCGGCGGGGGGGAGGCTTCCCCCTCAGGAACATTTTGCCATTTGAGATATACATTTATGCACATGTATGGACAAGCACACAAAAATCAGTAAACGGCTTTTAAGAAAAAAATCAATTCTGCCCTCTTCTAACCAAAAACCTGAATACACTACTGATGTACGCATAAAAGAGCAAGTCTCATTTGAAAATGAAAGCTCAGAAATGTGATTAGAAGCTCATTCTCTGAAAATAACATCCCATTATGGGATATTCTGCCTGTGTGGTGAAGGAGATATTTCAAGTACCTGCTGTGATTACAAAAAAGGATTAATGGGTAATAGATGGAGCTACATGTATACATGTAATGTCATTTAGCAAAAAATTGATCCTTGCAGAATGAATTCAGATGTGAGTTTAAACCATAAGCCTAAAAACTAATACAATTCCAAACTTGAAAAATCAACTCGAAACTCAAAAAATCAACTCAAAAAAATCAACTCAAACCTCAAAACTTGAACTATAGTAACACTCCTAGTGGCTTCAGATGCCGTGCCTGGAATATCGTGGATTATCTGGATGTATATTATAGGATCCAGTCTCCTGCATGCACAGATGCCACTTTTCTGGTCTTATCTGGATTTCTGTGTTTGTTTACCACCCCCATCCAGTTTTTTATTCTTCCAGCTTATGAAAAAGGCTGGAAAAGAAAAGAATGGGGAAACTTTGTTGATTATCACAAAGATTGCACTTCGAGATTTATGATGGTAGTGGGCACTGCATGTTAATGCATGCAACGTCCCTTCAGTAGCCCGAAAACAAGGCTGTGCAGGCCTCATTGCCGAGCTTTATGCAATGCAGCACACATGGCGTGTGCAAATGTTCAAGCTGCTTGCACCCAGCATACGAAGTACTGCATACAATGAACTTTCTAAACACACATTATGTTGGCCATTGATGTGCTTAGCACATCTATAATACAGCCTTGAATTCAAGACTACCTTGTCAATTGATGATTCCCAAGCGTAATAATTGTTTATATAGGAAAAATGCATATCCAGCCAGAAATCAACTGCATGTAATTGTCTTGCATATACACTGTACCATCATACGATGAACTGTCCAAGGTGTGTCAACCAGAAATCTTACACATTACATCACAATTTGGTCAAAATACAGAAACATTTAAACATTAAGTATCAAAGGTGAAAAATAAGTGGAACTGGATATGGCTTCAGAAATAGCATGACAATTGTGACTTTGCTTCAGACTACCATTGAAAACTTGACCAGGTTGGACTTGGTCTTGCACATACCGGTAATGGTGTACAAACACAATTAGGGACTGTCAGTGAATAAGGCACCTACAGTTCTCACAAACACAGAGTTCCATAGAGAAACAGTGGCAAGGAAAATGCTCATCAGTCACCAGTTGTTTTCTGAGCTCCAGCTATGAGGATTTTGACATTTCCAGAGCTGGCATGTCAATACTACTACTAGCCGTGCCAAGTACTGTCTTCTGTGCAGTGAAATCTTGATTCCTGGACCTTACACTTGGCTTTTGAATGTCCAATCAGTATTCCAGCTCTTGCATTGACAAGATTGACACTTCAATACAGTAATTAGCAGTAGTGCCTGCTTTGATTGTTGATTTATTAATCAACTGGTTACAGGTTGAAATTGGAAATAAATTTATGTCACATTTACGCATTTACATTTACTTTTCATGAAACAAGCTAACATCCAGGAGCTGCAACCCTAGTCGATATCTCCATTTGCCATGCTCAGTTTCTTACTGCACTGCTACTTGTCACAATCTAATGAAGTTCAGGTTTTTTCAAGCAGACCTTGTGGCATCTCTGCATGAGACATGCAAAATTGTTCAAAGCATTGGGGCTTGATTGCATGGGTTTTAAGGCTGTTGTAAAATATTCAAGTTTAATGTTTGTCTTTTTTGTTGATTGACAACAGAACAATCTATGCAATAACCCACCGACCCTACAGTCCAAGCCTCATACAAGTCAGCCTCAGGGATTGATCAGCAAAGATAAGGAATTACAAGAAACACTTCATCAGGATTTGCAAAGGCAGTTCCAATACTCAAGGTACTAATGGTTCCGAGTGGAACCGCAGTTCCAAAAAAATTCGGAATCGGAAGCTCTGCTTTGTGAAGAACCGGGTACTCGCCAATGGTGGGTCAAAACATCAAATCCAAGTCCAAATTACTGTTCAGCTCTGCGCCCATGAGTGACAAACTCCAAACATCGAATCCGCTCCCGCATGTATAGCATGCTGTATATTTAGCAGGGGGCCCTTCCACACAAGGGAAAATGCGTACACAAATGAACTGTAAGATATTCTTGTGTCTGGGTACCAAACCACATTGATTGTTGCACCCATGGTGTAGCAGAGCTTTGACGGCCAGAAGCCATGAAGCTCAAAGACTGTTTTGCATATGGCTGTGACTTCAAAATTGGTGAATTTTGCCTGGTACAGTTTTGCGTGTGACGTGTTGTACTTTCTGCATATATGACACCAGGCAAAATTGTTGAGTGGCTAAGAAATAGCCCAGCCATTGTCTGAACTTGTGCACCAGAGTCCACAACTTTTACTTGGAGTATTTTTATACATGTACATAGAGTGGAAAATAGTGCAGGAGGAAGCAGTGCTGAGTTGTATCATGGTTGTACATACATGTTGACATATGTTGCAGATTTCTTTCAACCATGACTAGTCTACGAAGAGGCAAAAATAAAATTCAAAATACCCACTGTGGATGATATTAAAGCCCACTTAAGACCAAAATCCAGTCTGTTGCACCATTCTTGAGTGGCATGGCGCCGGTGCATCGTGATGCACCAGCGACGGATCTTTAATGTGTTTTATTAAACCTTATGTTTACATGTCATTTGTATTTACAAACCCAGAGAGTTATTATGTTTTCAAAATAGTGAAGTATTGATGGCAACATTCATGAAACTTCCAGGAATTTCATTTAAAAGACCTAATGTCAGTTATATCATGGAGCAGTTGAACACACTTTGTAACAAGCATTTGATCACTGTATTTCATGGGATTTTTAAAATTACATTAATTTTGTTACATACTGTACACAAAATTTGTTTGATTTCATTCCTGTTTGGCATAAATTATCTCAGGAAAGAGAAGACAGGAGGTTCAACAAAAGAAGAGGATGAACAAGATGGTATGTATGTACTTCGCATACTCCGATTGTCTGTCTTGGAAATTAACTTTTTCTTCTTCAGCCCAAACTTTAAAATTATTGAAACATTATGAAATGTTTTCTAATTAAATAGATTCATAACGTTTCAGAATAAGGATTTTGGGTGGACGTCGTTGACAGAGGACTGTGACATTGGAGCAGGTCTGTGTATGAGAGACTTAAAGAGGAATGCTTCCAAATTGGTCAAGGGCAGCTCCTGGGGGATATATTGATGAAGCTCATTTACCAATACTTGCTTTAAGCAAATTGGTATAGCTTACCTATAGTACATGTATTGGGTTTCCCAAGGAATTAAATCTACATGAACATGTATGTTCATTTGACAGGATGCACATTTTATGTACACTAAACTCCTATAAGGATCCGAAAACTTGTAAATTTTTGTGTGAAGGTCAACATCAGGTGTACGTGTATTATGTCATCATGCTGATGTGGCAGGGGCCACTATATTACTTTACTCAGTGACTTTTTTGTTGTTGTTGCATAAGACTGATGCTCTAGGCTATTAACTTCCTGTCCAGAGCCCAGTCCACCCTTCCAGTGGGGCCATGTGGTCCTACCCTTATTAACAGACCAACAGCCAGATGATACACAGGCATCACTTATTTTCTTCCTTTTGCGTGAATACTAGTGTAGCTTACTACATGGGAAAAGGACTTTCCAACTCTTTATCTGAACTTGACCTTTTTGCCCATGACATTAAAGTATAACATGCACGACCCTTAACCCAAATCTTGAATAAACAGAGGTGCCCTATACAAACTATGATAACAAGCCTGGCAGGTCGACATTACATTAGATTTCTGCCTTAATCTGTGTGGTCTGTCACATGGTTTGTCAACACTTGAGTGTGATCCAAAACTTCATAAATTACATACATTGTAGACAGCTTCAACTGATTTTCATTCAAGTAAGGAAATGTTGGTTGGACAAACATTTGAGCCAGATCCACCTTTTTTTATCCTTGGATTAGCTTCACAAAACATCACAATTTTGTACTTTTCTTTTGTATTTTTCATCTTGAGTTTCTGTTTCTTTGAACAGCAATTGGAAGCCACTTTTCAATAGGAGATGGACAGTGCCTTTTATATGTGTAAAGATGGTGCAAATACTGACTACATGAAACAAGGCCTTATGTGTAAATGTGCTGGCATTTGTCCGAGCAGTACACACAGTGCTTGGACCTGGCTTGGTTGTTTAAAGTAACACAGATGCAGTGATTACTTGCTGTGCCAATAAACAAACGTCATTAAGCAGTATGTAACTTCTCACTTGATACTTCTTTCTGACTGCAGAGCAGTAGGTCGATCCTAATGTGTGTTTTTTTAAATGCTAACTTACATGTACATGCACACAGAAGAGTTTGTTATGCTTTTTATGGAAAGTGGACTAAGAGTATCATGCTGACTTGAGCAAAATGGCAACTTATGAAAGCTGTTTCAGTGGAAATGCATTGGAGATAATTCAGACTTTCATTAGACGGCTGGAGTTGTATGATATTGACTTATCCAGAGTTTACTGTATTTTCACTCTTCACATGATTATCTACAACTAATTCAGTTACATTTGAAAGGTACCCGTTGAAACATGCTTACTCACATGTAAGCCCAATTCTACTACCAAGGCACTGGTAGAGACCCAGTGAATTATGTATACAAAGTAACTGGCAATATGATACATAAACACTTGACTGTTGTTACTCAGGCAAGATGCCAATGATAAGCTAGAAATCCATTCAGATAACTCCAGATGTCCTTATCATTTCATTTTTTTTACAATTTCATTTTCTACACCTAGTTGCTGGATTTAGTCCTGATAAACCTGGCAGTGGAAATTGTTTTTCACCAAACAAGACCCAGGAAGAACTGCCTTCCCATGGGAATGCATCTTCTGTCTTTCCACCACCGAACCTGTCTAGACCAACCACTGGCGAAGGTACTGTATTTGTGTGATGTGACTTCAGTTGACTCTTGTTATTACAAACTCACCTTTGACAAATTTTTGTTATACCAAGCACAGATCAAGTACGAAATTACTTTTACAATAAATACAATAAAAGGTTTTTGTGACTCTGTTGCGTGAAATACATTATTGGCGACCTATTTATTTTCCGTTTTTACAAATCCTGAATATATCAATGAAATTAAAATTAGTCATTATCCTCTTGCTGCCAGGGAACCCCATTTTGAGCAACATGGGTTATACACAGAGCCGGGGTGCCCGAAATGGGACAAAAGAGCTGGCCTGTGTAACAAAAGACCATACTCAAAACAAAAGACCTGCTGCTGGGAATTGCCATCAGCTTAGAGTAACCACCAAACAGTCATTCGTGTGGGTGTCAACGTCCATTAAATGAAATGATGAATTTTTAAAGAAGTTTGAAAATCTCCCATATGTGTTTATTGCATTTTTAAAAGCACCCGGCAGCATGTGGTTAATACAGATGTTTCTCGTGACACGATTGTGTCAGTTGTTTAATCTTGTCAGTGCAATGCAGAATCTTTCCATGTGAAGGTGCAAATTGGTTGTACCCTGTTCAGTCATTTATCGTCCATCATGGTTACCAACCACAGCCACTGGTGACACGTTCCTCTCATCAGCACTGCATGTGTAAAGCCAAAGGAAAATCATATAAAAGAAACAATGATGGTTTTACAGCAGGCTTTTTCAAGTTTCCATTCCATTAAGCCCTAAATCTCCAATAAATTACTGAATCCCCTTCCCTATTCAGATGATTTTTAAAAAAAGATACAAAACAATCACAAAACTGTTAATCTGTTCTGTTAAGAAATCAATAAATTTGCTGAAAACCCTTTCTTTGATAGATTCTCTAAAAAAGTGAATTCACTACTGCTCCAAGCTCAAAAAACTGTTCAAAGCCATTATCAATCACCACATTAGGGTGGTGCAACCAGCAATGAGCTAGTTTGTGCACTTGTATGATGTATATGACATAACTATGACATCACTATTTATGATATCACACTCCTTACGCAAAATTCTCCTGAAGGGCAATTAAGGAAAGCTCGCATGTGTTGATTATTAATTACTCTTGGTCATCCATAATTATATGTGAAATTTCAAACACAGCCACGTGCCAAAATGGTGTCTCACATTGAACATTACAAAACAAACCAACAATAACAAAGTGGAAATATCACTTCATTGAGCACAGTCTGAATTGCAAGGTGAAGGAACTAGGTGTCCAGCATCAGGCAGCTCCAAGAAGTCACCACATTTTAGTGGCAGAACATCCCAGGAGAGATCTTTGTAAATCTTGTGCACCCAGGACCCAAAAGGATCAAGGCTGTTCTGAAAAACAATCATACTCACACAAAATATGGACTTTGGTACAAATCCCAACTGACTATTTTCAGAATTCCAAATTGCATAATACCTTGATTTTTTGTTGACTAGCAGTTTTGTATGTGGAAATAAAAATATGTAATCGTTGGTGATTTTTATGCCAGTGCCTCTAAAGCACCTACTTGGAAAGTTAGAGTAAAATAACTTCAACAGTGCACTGGGTGTACTCACTTTTTTAAGCTACTGTGCCAGTACATTCAAAATTAATATTACTATAATTAAACAGATAAATAAATTTTGCTTCCATTTGGTGTTAAGGAATAGAGAGGAAGTCAAGAAGCAAAGTTGCAACCGATGTGGCCAAGGGACAGAGACAGCCGACACAGGTACAGTTGAGTGTTTCCTGCACTTGGGATTTATCACTTTCAATGTCAACCATCTACTGCATTCTTAAAGAATAGTAAACAGTGTTCTCCACAGCCTTAAAATTTAGCAGAGTGGCAGGCAATGAGAGTGCAACGCCTGAGGCATTTCCTACACACTTTCTTCCTGACTCTTTAAATTGAAATTGGTCATTTTTACCGCTTGCAATGAAGGCAGGATTTTGGGGGGGGTGGACATCCAAAAGCGATTTTTTTTTCTAGGGCATTTTTTAAACTAATTAGAATTCATCATGGGGGGGGTAAAGGCCTGAATAAAAAAACACCCTCAATTGTCATGGGAACATTGTAATTTACGTCAACTGGTTCTCGACACAAAGTGAAAATGGTATTACTGGGGAAATTGAAACCAGTCAAGAAATTCCATACATATGTATTAAGTGAATAGATGCTGAACATTTCTACGTGTGTAATGCTGGCAAACTCATCATGTTCATTCATAGTGTGGTAAGCTTCTCTGTACACGGATAAACTGTGAAGACAATGAAGAGTGGGGAAATCACAATGAAAACAAAAAAGCAGGCAGTAAAAATGTTGACGAGGCAGCAAAACTTTAGTGGAGTGGCATAAAATTCTGGCAAGGTGGCCCTCCTGCTAAAACCTGTTGTGGAGAACAGAGTAAAACAGGGATGGCTTAGGGTACCTTTTGAATTTGAACAAATAAGAGATCAAGTTGAATATAGATTTTATCATCAGGTAAGAAAGATGGATGTCGGCAAGAACTGAAAGTCCAGATGCACAAGGCATGTGAGCCTACCATGTAATACTGTTGGCATTCGTCTAGAGACAGTGGAGGGCTGTGCCATGGTTCAGTCTGTTGAGATGCAGCAGGTGCTGTAGCTAAACTGTCTGATCCTGGATCGATAGGCTCTACTGCAGTTGCTGTAGATGAATTCCGCACTTGACTCAGCTGGTGCTTTGGCTGCCATCTGTGCATTCTTTTCCCATCACTCCTCTCTCTTCTCACTCTGTGGATGCCCTCCTCTACTGTCTTTTTATGGCTGCTGCATTCAGTAGCTTTAGCCACATAGCCCTCACTCGTCGTCATGTCTTGTTTACAAACATCCTTGTTGTGCAAGAGAAGCTGCCTGGCTGATCTGGAGCAGATGGAAAACTTGCCATACAGCATGCCCTTCAGAATTCAACCATCATCCATTTCTGATGTGGTTAAGCCAATGCATAAACTTGTGGATGAGCAGTGCAAATATACTTGGGGGGGTTTGTGTGATCAAGGACATTCTTGTTCAGGATACGATTTTGCCATTGGATGCCCACAATTCTGAAGCTGCACAGGTGGAAGGTGTTGAGCCTGTGCTCTTGGTGGGTGTGGAGGGTCCATGCTTCGCTGTCACTAGAGCAGTGTGTTTAGCATGCAGGCTTGACATACCTGCGTCTTGGTGTAGATGGCCAGGATCCTCTTTGCCAAATGAGCCAGGGCTGATATTGCTGTTAAGCTTGGTGTCCATGGACAGGTTGCTTGAGATGGTGAAGCCAAGGTACGTGAAGTCCTCCAACACCTCAAGGGTAAAGTCGGCAATGGAGATGGGGTGTTAGGTGCTGCTCATGTCTTGGTCCAGTATGTTGGTCTTCTTGTAGCTGGTGGTCAAGCCAAATGTGCTGCATGCATGTAAAGCAGTTGAGTCATCGTACCGCCTCCCTGGAGTATGCCATCAGAGATGCATCATCAGTGAAGAACATCTTTAATCTTAATACATGATTATTATCTGTCTTATGTAAGGATGGGGCAATTACAGATTTTCCACAACATTTAAAGGAACCCACTTTGGAGGTGTGACACTTGATTGATTGATGTGTTTCTTAGTTTAAATGTATGTAGAGTCTGTTTGGTTTATGGAACACTTTAAATCTTGCTTATATCAAAGGAATATCATAAATCCCATAGCCAGCAGTCCTGTGTTGTGCCAACCATGTACATGTACACTACATACAATTTGTGGTGTTTGAAGTCTTCCGTGACAGTATGGTGCTAAGATCAGTGATCATTGTCTGTTATTCTTAATGACAAAATATTGAGTTCTATGCTGTCACTTCTACATGTATATCCTCTGATACATTCTATCCAATTTTGAAAATCCCATTGTAGTTTTTTTAAAAAGGAGACATTTGAAGCCATGTTGCCTGTATAGTGGTTAAATTATAATAACATGCCAACTGGTAGATGGACTCCTGATGGTTTGTGAGAGTGGAGGAAAAAATGAACATCATTCTTTAGATCTAAGGCAGACGTTGGATGCTAACAGAATCTTCCACAGGAACTTATCGTATTTGTTTTTTTCTAGTCAAGGATGATTTTTTTAATTAACCTTTTATCCATTCAATCTATCTTTGGGGTATGCACCTAATAAAATGCCCCCTTTTTATGTTTTTTAAGTTGCGCATATTTTCAAAAGGCACTCACTTAAGCAATCCTCATATAACTAGTTTTGCGTTAACGTTTTCAATGTGCCATTTTGAGTCTTGGATTCTACATTTTATTTCATTTATTTGCCAGATAAAAGGACATACAAAATATGCAAATTACGTACAAGAGGCACACCTAAAAACATCTAAATACATTACATGAGAGATATAAATAATTCACTGTAACTAAAATCCAGAAAAAAACCTCAGCAGCCAGACTGCTCAAGCAAACTATCACCACAGCACAAAAATGCAACTACCAACCTTCAAGTGCAACACAGCAATACACTCTCTCACACAACCTGATTATGTCCATTAGGGAGAGTACTGACAACCTCTACACATATACAGACAAACAAAAACATACGAACTGGAAGAACCTCTGGCAGGGATAACCAAAATAGTGACAGAGTCACTTTCAAAGTGGTTAAACTTGAAATTCCCCATGAAACGCAACAAGGACAACTCAAACAAGAAAGCAGTGCTGTGGCTTCTCTCTCATACAGTAGATAGCTCATTATGCAAAAAGTAAATATATGTATATTTGGTATCTTTCAGTTCAATAATTTATCTTGGGTGTATTATTTCTACTCTGAAGACTGCAACCTAGTGTTTGAACTTTTTCTTAAGAAAGTGTACAACCCCAGACCCTGCCAAAAAAAGGCTGGACAAATTTTCCTCAGGAATTTCTTATCACTGTATGCGCCCTGATAAAAATACTCGAATGAGTAAATCTACTCCAGCTGAATTGAAAAACCTTCCGGGAGAGTGATTGACAGCTCTATAGAGGTTCTACTTAGCAGCCATTTTTCCCAGTAACTGCTTTTGTTATGGAGGGATAGCACAATATGTTTATTCATGTGTATCTCTGTGGGAACGAAAGAAAAATGGCTGCCGTGCTAAACCTCCATTGTGATAGACACAGTATACACTTGTGTAATACAAAGTATATTTTGAAGACATTAAGGTTCATCTTCAGGCCACATGTCTGAAGATGTTGCTTGGCAGCTGTGTCGATGATAATCTCTTTGCCAATTGAGCCAATTGGATGCAATTAAAGCCTTCATTGATGAAATTTAACATTTTCAGCCATGTGACTTATGTAAGAATGACAAGTGGTTATCCACAAACATTATTGCTGAGGAGGCTAGGGAGCACTGACTGGTACATAGCCTGACTTCTTTTGAGTGCAGTTACCCTGCAGTTTCAAAGCCCATTGATAAACTTTTCTTGACTTTGAAGAGGATTAAATGCAGAGGAAATGATATATCTTAGACCTTGAAATTCATTGACAGTTTATTCCACGCAGTTTATCAGATTTCATTAAAAAAATTATTTTCCTATTTAAACAGTCCAAATAAAAATGATATTCCCAATAAGCCTTTTGCGAGTTAATTTGATTAAAATCTGCTGATTGCACATAAACATAATTTGAATTCCCAGACTAAAGACACTGCTGCTATACCTCGTGATTCGGGAAAAGCTTTTGCATAGTGACCACTGTCTCTGGAATGGACTGTTCCTTTCTTGTCGTTCTTATCCATTTATAGCAGTGTATCAGTGCAAGGTGTCTCTTATGTAACAGTGTTTGTAGTATGGAGAATTCACATTATTTTCTCGTGAATTTAAAGAGCTCAGTGTATCATATTTTATTAAGGTAATAAATATGTATGAGGCTGGTCTTAAACGTGTGTTTAAGACTGGCTGAGGAGAATACACGTGACTAATGCCTGAGCAGCAGGTGAGGGCATTATCAGCATTCATTAGTATCGTTAGTAGGATGGATTTCCAGCAATTTTGTCATAGAATTTTACTTTCAGTTTCCCAAACACCCCTGTCCATTTTATGGAATATTTCTTGTGCAAACTGCCCAATAATGCACATGTGACGAGCTGCGTGTACACAGACTCTTGATTAAACAGAATCGATTAAACTATCCAGGTGCCAGTGCATGATTTTATGCAGCGGGCATTATCACCTCCCAGCGGGCATTATCAAATGTTCCTACACAGCCAAGTTGCATGTTGTTGAATAGGGGGACTGAGATGTGTATTAATGAATCAAGCGTAACTCCCAAAAGGCTTATCATATGGTGATTTTTTCCTTTCTATATCTGTTTACCTTTTGGGGAAACAAATCAATTTTAAAGCAATAAAAACTGCTTATTTTAAATGCGCTCATCATCCATCAACAGTTATACATTGGGCTAATCATTTGCATTGTTGGTGAATTGAAACAGGCGGCAGCAGCCCCTGTGAAGTGTTGGCTAAGCATTAAACAGTATGGGGAGGTTTTTCTAAATGTTTATGATATTAAACATAAACCATCCACACTGTAATGCACTTTGCATTTTGCTCAAAATGGGCAAGGTTGAGTCTTCCATCACTTTTGGTGTGGTGGAGGTGCACTCTATCCTCTGGCTTGCTGATGTAGGACAGCCACAGGGAAGAAATGCTGCTACAGCAGTCGTCTCTGTTCATGGCTCTTCTCCTGGAGCTGTCGTATGGAGAACATACCAATTGTTGAATTTCCAGTGCCAGATCCACACTATGCCTAAGGGTGTAATGCTTTCAGTGAGTGACTGCAATCTGCCATCTTGCCAAAGGTATCTATGCTGGAGTTGTACATGGCATCACAGATGTTACTCCACCTTTCTTCAGCATTGGTGGCAGGATAATCCTTGAGGGCTTCCGCGGTGGAGTTGGCAAAGTACTTCCACATGTCTGGAGTTGTTGTCTTGGCAAAGTTAATGTATGAGCATCCTTTCAGCTTTGAGCAGTGGATATGTCTGGATTAAAGGCGTACCTTGCTGCTGACCAGGGAATGGTCTGTGTCTCATTCACCACTGCAGTAGCTGCATGTATAGAGACTGCAGTTCAGTAAGGTCTCCATGTGATGATGAGATCCACCTGGTTCCAGTGTAGAATAGCATGTGTTTGTGATGCAAAGGTCATAGTAGTCGGAATTCCAATAGTCTCTATCCATTCTTTTTCAGCTTGCCAACACTGAAATAACTGATGCAGCTGGGCCAGGAGCTGGAGTCAGATCCTACTCAGGCATTGAAATAAGTTGGCAAGTAGTACAGGTATTCTTTGACAGGGATACCTGTGATGGTGGTCAAGCTCCTTGTTAATTTGTTCTTTGGTCTCAACAGAAGAGAGAAGTGTGAGAGCATAGACACTCAGGACGTTCCTTGGACCTGAGGAGGTAGACATAGGAGTGACCTCTACAGGGCACAGGCCTTGGCAGTACATATGGACATCCAGGGTGCTCAGTTGTCAGAATCTCCTTCTGGACCTCATTGACTTTCAAAGGAAAGCTGAGTGATACATTTGGCATCAGCTTGGCTACTGAAGCTGCCTGAAGGATGTCAAAGTTTACGTCCAGCCACCTAAGAAGCATTTAGGGAACTTATCTTCCCTTTGTAGGTCTTGTTTTTGTCCCACATGGTTTGCAGCTACTCTCTGCACCATGTAGGTACCTGGTCGGGGAACCAGTTTAGTTGCCAACCACCCAGCCATGAAACAGATGCAAATGGATTACATGTTACCAGATGACTATAGCAGGTTTGACCTGACCTGCAAAGTTACAGTTAAGCTAAGTTACACATATTTTGGATTGTACTTTTGAAGAACTTCAAACTTCAAAACAGATGTGCTGGGTTTGTCTTCAAGAAATCCACATGCATACAGATACATCCCCTCTACCTAAAGAACTTCACTGACTTCCAGTTGATAACACCTTCAAATCACTCAAGAATTCTACTCTAGACAATCATTCATCTCTTATGAGTATCCTGGGGCCAGATTCATGAAACTCATTTTATCTTGCGACTCATCTCAATAGGAACTGGGTCTTTCCCCACTAACAGACACATTTGCAGGACAGTCAATACAAATTTCCAACTGTAAAATTTTGCCATTATGTTTGCTTTCATATGTCATCACTGTATCTGATTGTTGCCATGGATAAATTGAGCAGTATTTAAGAAATTTCAAAACACAATTGAAAATTACCTGCAATGTATTAAATACTCTTTTTAGTTTGCTTTTAGAAACTTTCATTTTGTCATGAAAACAATTCCAGTATAGTATAACATTGAAATTTGTTTCCAGAAAAATATGTAACTTTTGTCACTGGACGGACATCACGTTTGTCACATGGACAGATATAACGCTTGTCACATGGACAGACATTTTTCTGGTGTTTGAATTAGAGCATGAAAACAGAATTGTTCACAAACCAAACTTATTTGTTTTCAGTTTTCAAAATCATTTTTGTTAAAAAAGACTATTAGACTTCAGCTAAAATGAAGACCATGTAAGTTTTCTCAATGAGTAACATTTGTCACATGGAAAAACGTAACGTTTGTCACATATCGTAACCTTGGGACAGACAGTCTTCTCACTTTCATTTTAGCAATATGAACCAACTTTTTCTAGTGAATTGTTCGTTTATTATATTTAATTTGGTTTTGTAATAAAAGTATAAGTACTCATATGAGAAAATTTCTAATATTTTTACATTTAGAGGGAAAAAATGGTTGTGACAAATGTTTGCAATTCTTAAAATCAAATCTTAAGTTTTGTTATCTGATAGAAAAAAACAACCACAAATATGATGTAAACTATTATTGTAAAAACTTTTCTGAGGAAGATATGTGTTTTTGCTCAGGTTATCTGGTCAAGGAATGGCAAAATCAGCCTATGTCATCTTTATCACTCTGTGGACATTCCTTAATTAACTCTCCTTAAAATCCGTTTGAAGAAAATTAAAAGCCGTAGATTTTGACTTATTTCTCAGATATCCCTGTAGTACCCATGTTTTAACAGATGAATTGCTTTTCTCCATTAGAGTGGTATTTTAGATAACCTGAAAAACGTGAGCTGACACAGTTACATGTATGTGCACGTCCCACGAGAGCCCCTAATATAAGCTGGACATTTTCATCAAGATCCTGATTATTTTAACAAAGAACAATCAAGTCCTATTATACTGTGCAAACTACTGTATATCTCCACAATTATACATATACCAGTAAAATTGTTAAAGTTCATTTCTTGATTCTCAACACTGTTAAAGAAAGAGATGATTTTGGCTATGTGCAAATATGTCTGTTAGTGTGGACAGACCCAACTAAGATGCTAAAGTTGAGTCCCCACTCTAAGATTGATCTTAGCCAAGATGCGCTCTGAGATTGATTTCATGAAACCAATGTTAACCAAGATGCATCGAAACTACCAATATTTCGCTGTTTCCTTTTTGCCATTACTGTTTGATGAATCTGTTGAAGAAAATCATGCAGAGCTAATTTCATGTTCCTGAATGTATGGACCATGAAGGGACACAACCACTTGTGAATGTGACATTTTAAATTTTGTTTTGCCATGATGTGAATTTGCTTTGCAACTATTCATGCAAAATTTTCACATCCCAAAATGTGTTCAAGACCAGTCTTGTCCCTTCAGGGTAACCATATGCAGGTGTGTATAGAACATGAACCTTTGCCAGAAAAATTAATCTACTTAATAAATTTCACACACTGGTAGTTGTACACAAGACACGATGGAATCAATCACGCTTCCCATCATTTCCATCATTGTATTTTAAAAAAAGAGGAGTTGGCGTACAGTTTAATTTTGTAAACAAGCTATGTTTGTTAAAACTACCCACTTGTCAGAAAGCTCTCCAAATCTGTTTCTCTGATTTTGTTCTCAAAACCTTTTTATGTATAAAACTTCAGGATGACACTCTTTTTTAACAGCGGTGATTTCCAGATTATATACAAATTATTGCATTCATCAGTGACATAAAATGACTCAGAAGTTGCTGAAGAAGAGAAGACATGTTGAATTCATCTTAAAGAGCAACTCAAAGGAAAACAAACAGTGCATGTAGCCATTGTTTGGCATACACAAGGGTTTATCCACTATGAACAAAGGGCGAGTGTTCCCCTCTTTTTCCCCGTTTTCTCAAAATGAACAAAAATCCCTTCTCTGAAGACAAATGACACTGCGTTCGATTTGAATGATTCCATATTTATTTGAACAGATGAAATCAGAGAACATGTTTTCCTTTGAGTTGCTCTTTAAGTTGAGTGAAACTCATCCTAAATTGACCTAAGTTAATACGGGTCATCCTTCGGAAGACATGTCTTACCATTTCATAAAGTGGACCCTTGGTGGCCAACCTTTTCTTATTCCCTTCGTTCTGTGATGGTTTCAACTCTTGTGCCTGAGTCTCAAAAGGAGCAGGGTTTTCCATTGCTGGTCCCCACCTGTGGAATGTCCCTCATCAGGGCCTCACATCATCACCATTCAAATTTGTTCTCGAGAAACATTCTTTCATCTCTCTGTCATCGTTCTTTTTTCTGTGTAAGCACCTTGTATCCTCTGGTAATTTGGTACTATATAATACAGTTGTTTATTATTTAATTCAAAAGGCTATTTTCAGGCAGCAAATGTTGGAAAACTTTTAGTATTTCACAGGATATATCATCTGCGCACACACACTGTTACTACTAGGGTGTTCCCATATATGGGAATGTTAGCCCTTGTACCAACAGTTTGTTCCAACTGGTCATATGGTTATGACTAGCTGGTGGTATCACTTGGAATGTCCTTGGTCTTTAGCAGTCAGAAACAGGCAAAAATGATGGTGTGTTAGAAATAAGTTAAGTCCAATGCTTTCATCCACTCTATTTTTTCTTATTCTTTCAGAGTAAACGTCCCTTACCAAGGCCAACATTACTTACCAGTACCAATAAGATGCCAAATCATGAGTTCCATGGACCTACAGGCAATAGGCAGCGTGCTAGTGACACCAAAATGAAAGGTACCCCACAGCAACATCTGGTTGAAAACAGCATCATGTCCCCAGAAGCAGACAGTGGGTTCATGGGATCAGAGAGCAGCCGACAGTCCAATCAGAATGGAAGATCTGGCTCTGACAGTCACAACCAGCTGAGGAAACCTGGGAATATGTGAGGAAGATTGCGTATTGTTTGCCCCCCCCCCAAATATTTTCCTCTGAGTATCTTGACTGAGGTTCTCAAAAGGTTGATATATTTATGCCCAGCCCAAAAAGTCAAAGCGCCATACTGCTTCTGCCTTGTGCGAACCCTGCATACCTAGTGTGGACCCATGAAAAAAGGAAGTCCACATACTGCAGGTTGTGTGAAACTTGTGTGGACTGAGCTAGGTCCACATGATTTTTTCCTCTCTGAAAAACAGTTTTAGAGGCATTTTGGGGCCAGGGATATTGTTCGCAAAGTGAACAGGAGCATTCCAAATAACCAGCTTGAAAGAGTATTCACAGTTCATAAGAAATGAATATTTTCACCAAGTTTACTTTACTACATGAAAACAAAGGGATGTCCACACTATTGAAAAGATTACACCTTCATGTTTTCTGTGCTGATTAATAAAACAGGTTTAGCCTTCAGTCAAATAAGTTACCAAGAGGTCAGAGGTCCCCACCACTGGTTAACAGGAGGCTACCAGGAGGCTGGCAGAGCCCACAGTTCTCTGACAACATCAGTGAACAGGATGAAGACATTGAGGATTTGAGCATTCATTCTGAAGGAGCTGCCAAGAGAAGACAGGGTACAGTAGAAGAGGTGCTACCTGCAAAAAGTGAGTTTGAAAAAAGCCTTGCAGAAGGGATAAACAATGTACTAAAAAAAATCACCTTAGGTTTTGTATGGGGGCATACGTAAATGTAATAGGATTACATTTGTGGTGTCATGGTTGTTTTCAGCAGTTAAGACATACATGTATTTCCCTGTGGTTGGTGTTTTTATTCACAGCTGGAAAATTATTGCAGTTATGTTTTGGGGGCTATGATACTTGGTTGAGTGTCTTTGGCTTCATAAAGGATCAGGGAATAAGGCTATAGTGACTTAGCTACAATGCCCTCATGACATCATTCTGTCATTTCTTTTTCCATGCTTGTTTCTTTCTTCTCAAGGGAGGTTGCTAGTTTTAGGGGTACATGTGCGTTACTTTCCAGCAGAGGTCAGGAGCATTCTATACTTTATCATGGTTCATGTTTCTTGCATTGCAAGTTTACTCTTCTTATGTCTGACACTTAGCATAAAATACTGACAATATCAGCTTTCAAACTGCTTCTTCCTGTTAGTTATTGCTACATTGGTGTGTGTGATATTGCAAGTATTTTCTATCCCAATGTTGGAGGAAAATACAAAACAAAAAGTGGGTTTGGATTAGCTAGTGCACAGTAGTTTTGTGTAACTTACCATTTGTGCCAGCACATATCTTGCAATAAAAAGCATGAGCTATGTGCTTCAGAATTGAGTCATTGAACTTGAGTGATGTTAATAATGAATAATAAGCATTGTTGATTACTGAAGACACCAAAGGCTGTTGACAATTTTGTAGTCTTCTAGGGGAGTTGGATTACATGAGGGATCACACAAATAATTTGCATAGGGGAAATGTGACTTAAAAGGACTTGCTGGTTTCATGACTTTTTTCATGGCTACCTCACTAGGCACATATTCCACATCTCGTGTCAGTGCTCAAAGGTCCTAAGTGAAAAAAATGGAGGAAAAGATCCAAATTAGAAAAAAATATTGCTTTAAGCCTGACTTTAGGCAAGAAAATTGGTTGAAATTTAAATATAATTGCCCCAGAAAACTAGTTTTATATGTAAAAATTTCTAAAATGTCTGTTTCTACAGAACAAGATTCTTTTCATGTTCAGAATAAGGTCCTAAGACTGTATTCAAAAAATACATTTTGCTGTAAGGACCTCGTAGCAGTGAGCCCATGATCAGTTTGATGTGACATGCACTTGCTGGTAATGTGCTCATTGAAATGGGTGTAAACACAAAATTAAGATGTCCTCAATGAAAATTTTGTAAATGCTTACAGGTACATCACAGAAGACAAGGAAGTCACTTGACAAACCAAAGCAGAGATCAGCCATAGATACACCTGACAGAAAACGACCAGCAGCTTTGCGACATCTTCATGACAAGCAAAGAGAAAAGCAGCATGCCTTAGAGACCCAATATACCATGGACAGACAGTTGATTTACCCAGATGGGAGAGTAGGCACAAAAGATCCTCCAATGAGTTGGGATGACCACAGCAGTGGCTCTTCATCATACCCAGAGTCTGTCTTTAACAAGCATTTGCACAAGGAGTGTGCACATTCGAAGCAGGGTAATCCTAAGAAAGTTATAAGAATGGGAGTCAGTCCTGCTAGAAATCCAGTCAGTGTTTCAAGGGACAGGATGAGAATAGTCCCGGAGCTCCAGAGGGAACATGACTCTGAATCAGACATGACAAGAAGTAGGGGGAAGGCTGAAGCCATTTGGGGCCTTCAAGACGATATAGAGCAATTGAAACATCAGGTGGCCAAAATGAGGGGCCCTGAAAAAAGCCCAAGACACTCCTCAGCTGAGGTCAAACCACATCACCCAAGTTCTAGCCTCAGAAAGACCCAGCTAGACTCCACTGATTCTAAGCCTGGCAGTGGCCAGTCAGAGATCTTGAGAGCCTTGCAGAATGAGATTGATGATTTAAGGAGCCAAGTCAATGAACGAGATGAATCACCCTTAATACACAATTTGCCTCCCTCACAGACATTTTTGCGAGAAACAGAGATGAATGAATATCAAGGTGGATGTCACACAGACCCACCACCTCCTAGAGACAGGTTGCGAGAGACCCTCAGGCAAGCATACATTCCCAACAGTGGTCATCATTCCTTCACAAGGAGCCCCATTAAGTCATTCTGGTCCTCGAGTTCGCCTTACCAGTCTAGGTCACATAACCCTGTGCCCAAGTTTGAAAGCACACCCTTCCACAGGAGTCCTTCCTTCATTCCTGAATCCATGCCCTCTTCTGTATCCCTTCCAGGGCCTCATCAGTTCTCACATTTTCAATCGGGCTTTGAAATGTCTCCAGACCAAAGGGTTACTTCCTCCCCTGCATACACCTTTAAACAGAAACCATGCCCACTGTGCAATGGAAGTGGAGTGCACACCCATGCAGAATATTCCCAGCCTCAGAATTTGCACCCTAACTCAGTAGTAGTTCCCTCACAACTTGCTGGTTCAGCACCCAGTGAAGCAAACCAGTATCCTGACACTGTTGCTGGAGCTGGCCAGAACCAACCTGCCTACTACCCAAATCCATCACAGGGTCATATGCAAACTTGTAGGACTGCATGTCAGAGTCAGACTCAGTCTTCCAACTCGGAGCAGCAATCCACCTTTAACCCTAACCAGCAAGTATTAAATGAACAAACCATCCAAGGTCCACAAGCAGTTTTCAGTTCTCAGCCTACATCAAATCCAGTGTTTAACCAACCACAACCAGTAATTACCAAACCACAACTGGTGCATAACCAGCAACATCAGGTGCTAAGTCAGTTGCAGCCATCATCTAATCAGTCACACGCAATGTTACATCAGCTAAAGCCAATTATAATCCCACCTGCACAAGCCCCTGTGAATGAAAGCCTTGGCCAGACAACCTCAGTGCAAGTGCCAGTCTCAACACAAGCCCAAATTTTTCTCTCCCCACTGGGTAATTATGTACCCTTGGTCAGTATTCCGGTTAATGCTGGTGTTCCAGTTAATGCTACCCACCAGGACACTAGTGAGAAGCAGAGTGAAACTAGGAGGGACTGGGTACCAAGGACATCAGTTAATGGACAGAAATGCCCCAGGTAGGTACAAAGTAGCGGCACTTCTGTATGCCAGGGCACTTATAATTTTGCTGTCCAGAGCTTTCTCTTAATAATGAGCAAGGTTAGCTTTTGCATGTTTACCTTGCTAGGATAAGGGATACCATAGATCATAATGCTGAACAGCAAATACACAATGTAAAGAACATCAATCCTTCAGAATTTTTTCTATTAAGATCCTTGGGGGGTGACAATGGCTGTGCTGTACAGTTTTTTAAACATCAAAATGCAGCAAAACCATATGTTAGTGACACATTTGGGAGAGCCAAATAGGCATGACTATTGACAGGTGTCCCAACAGTTTAGTCCAGGATTGTCTGAGTTTATACGTGCCTATGATGTGTATGGGGAGAGGGCCTACTAATTTTATGTCCTTAGATATCGTTGAGAGGACAGTTAACAATTGTTGACTGTTTTGGTGTGGGATATGATGTTTTAAACACCTGGGGGATGCATCGCACCCCAAGGCGAAGCCAAGGGGTGCTATAAGTACTATCCGTGCCCGAGGGTGTTCAAAAGTCATATCCCACACCAAAGCGGTCAACGATTGTTTTTGTCATACCGCTGTCTTAAGGAATTTATCCAAAGAAACAAGCTCTGAATTTCAGAAGACAATGTCAAATTGTACAATTAACCTAACAGACGTAAAAAATATCATCTGCAAATGCACTGTTCTCTCACTTTCTTTAAAGCACTTCGTGCCTGGCCATTTATCCATGTTGATTCTGCTAAGTCGGGTGATTTTGCATTTTTCTCTGTTTTCAATTCTTTAAAATTTCATAACTTCTTTTACTAGACATTTACACCCACACAAATGACTGTCTGGTGGCTACTCCAATCTGACAAACAACATCTATTGATGAAGTATTTCAGCCAGGCCTGCAGCCTTGTAAAAAGAGCCCAGATTGTGCGATGTTATGTAATTTCTTTTCCCGAAACTGGCACAGTGCGCTGCTGACGTCTTTTCAATAGGGGCCGGATTAGCTTGCAGCGGTATTGTATCGTTCATCACTAGAGCGCTTTTTTCCACATTGGTAATCCGCTCATGCTGAATGCCACAAACAGTGGTATAATCTTTCAAAACAATGATGGATTTCCTCCACTTTTGTCAAATGAAAAAATGTTGGAAATTCCCAGCAGCTCAGTTTTTTGTTCCGAGTACGGTCTTTTGTTACAAGGCCCAGTTGTTTTGTCCGGTTTCGGGCAGCCCAGCATTAGATTTAAAGAACCTGAAACTGGGTTTCCCGGCAGCAAGTGGTTAATTGCGTGAACTTGAATGTGAAACTAATGTGGGAACAGTGAGTACATGTAGTCTGGTTAGGGGTCCCAGCATTACCTTATACGCTGAGGATACAGGAACGGAAACAAGTGTGTTATTCAAGCGCGATCATTGATCAAAGTCCCTGATAACCTATGCACAAAATGTGGCATGGGTTCCACACAAAACTGACTAGAGGAGTGGAAATGTTCTCGCTCGAACTTGCCGATGCTCTTTTGTCTCCCGCACGTGTGTGTGCATGCACTATTGGCAGAATGAAATATATTTATGGTATGATACGCAGATATATTGCCCTGTCATGTGATCGTTCTGGCCAATGAATGGACAGTTTCCAAGACAGAGGTACTATAGGACAATAGAATTTAAGGACTGCAGATCTCAAATTTGTTGACTAACATTGGCAACAAGCTGAAATATTAACGACACTGAGCTAATAGTGTATAACATGTTTGACAAACATTTTATTGGGAATTATCCATGCTACGCAAAGATAAAACTGTAGTGATTGCCTTTTTTTCACCTTCTCCTAACATAGCATGTAGCATGCCCTCAAAATGTTGCACTCACGCGATATACATGACACAAAACAATGGTGAGCCACAAAACATCATTAAAGAATTTTAGCCTCTCACTTCCTTTCTTTTTGGGTTTGATGGATCAGCGTTGCATTTTTCAAGCCTATAATGGAATGACAAAATGAGAATAATCCCACAGGATTGTAAGTTGTTTCTGTACCAGAATGGGCCTTTCAAATTCAGCAACGCTTCAATTTTGGACTTCAGTTATGGGCCGAAATAAAGTGATGCATTGTATATGATGAACTACAAAACAGTTGTGATTGTACACGCAATACAAAATTGATATTTATGATCCTTTTTCTGTAATTTGTACAATTTGTCCAACATACACCTTCTATTCAACTGCTGGCTGCCATTTTACGTTTTCCAAAAACAACGCAAGAAAGCACATGCCACATGATGCAGTATATGCGCAGGCACAACTATCAACCAATTCAGACAATCCTGGCCAAATCTCGTTGGGCCTTCCACCCCCAGGGCCCTCTCAATGTTTGGGCTCACTGCATGGTTCGTACTCCAGCTTGAGATGACAACATTGACCGGGGAAGTGGGGGACATGTAAAGGGTATGGCTATTGACAGGTGTTCCAATAATTTTGTCCAAGATTGTAGCTTTACCTACCTGTTTAACATGACATAAACATTGATACATGTACCTAGAGGAAAGTTGCGGACAGAGATTTACACGGGAATGTGCAACATCAGTTCAGAGCTGGTTCAATGCGTGTTATGGCATGGCGGGCACATATCAAAAGGAGAAATTACAGTAATATACACTGGATTACATAGCACCTCCTGTCATAGCAGTGCAAGACAGTGTCTTTGATGAATAACAGTGAGGTCATGCACCCACAGCTGCAGTTAAAATCCTGTCTACTCCTCAGGGGAAGGAGTACTTAAATTCATATATTCAAATTCATATCCAAGTTTCCCCTGCACCAAATTTGCCATTCGTTTAAAGTTGATCATCCATAGTGAGCCCTCACCTACCACAATGCAATGCTGCATCACCGCCATCACTGTCTTTTTTTTTTCTCAGTGACATGTTTCTGATACTTTCAAATTTTCTTTGATTTCCATTTCGCTACCGTGTGACTCTGTATATCTTATTCAATCACCCTTGTAAAGTATCTTTATCATTGAGTTGTCTTTCTTATTTCTGGCGAGAACATTGTTTTGGGGGAGATTTTAGTAATCGGTGTCATTGTTTCATCATTTATAGTATACATGTACCATTGTAATAAAGAGCTTCAAATGGTAGCCGTTAAAACATTGAACCCGTTCGTCCAGCATGTAAGTTTGCTGAGGCAGGGGAGGTTTGGACGCAGTAGCTGCCCCAATGTGGAACTGGGGATTGGATGCAGGACGCAACCCCGAGTTCCCACCAGCCACGACTACAGAAGCAGGGATGTGAACACAGTGAAGTGGCCCCTCGCTCTTCATCTGGCACACACTTGTGACCTGAGTCTCATCCATGGCTACAGGAATTGCGACCACAGCTGCCACTCATACTTACCGCACTCCTTGATCCATTTATCCACCGATGCCATCCATGGCACTAATAAAAAAATTCACAGGGTGACGACCCTCCTCCCGACTGACCACAGTAGCCACTGCCTGCTGTAAGGAACCATTTCAAAACTCATCCAGGGCAATTTGCGAACAAGTTACGGGTGGCACCACTTATTTCACCTGCAAAAAGCCTGCAAAAATTTGTCCTGGATGAGTTCTGGAGGAACTTTATTTGCAACTTGTCAACCATGAATGATTGTCTATATTTGGCCTGAGGGCACACAACAGGTGGCCCCAGAAGAGTTTCTGAACATCAGATGTACAAAGTATGTAGCTTTATTATGCTTTTCTTCCACTTTGTTTCAAAATTATAACTATCAACCAAAGCAAAGAACCAGAAAAAAATAAGGCACAAGAAAATAACATTTGAAACAAGAACAATAATAATAATTAATAAATGAAATTTACACATTGAAACTCTTATCAGCCGGAGAAACTATATTCACTTAATGTACATCAGGAAAATATCAATGGAGAGCATTTTAAACCAGTTGGTTATCATGGAGCTATAACAATGTATATCAACATCACTTCCAGTACATAGGACACACAGTGTGTCCTTGGGTACCCATCCTGGCCCAAACGACAAACTACAAACCACAGTAGGGGGGACTTGTGTCAACAGACTGATTGCTTCACTGTGGGAAGACTGCAGATAAGATAGAGAATCCCACAACTTGCAACAAAACAATATCGGCAAATTGTCCTGCGATGAATTTTGAGATGACTCCTAACTCAGAAGTCAAAAAGGCTTGCACTCCGGCGCCCACCACCAGCCCAGCAATTGAACTTGTCACATATCACTGGGCTTGCTCCATTGAATATGTCATCTGACTACAGACTCACCTTGGCACTGCACCAGACAGCAGCCAGGAACCCATCACACTTTTGTGCCACCGGGCTTTTGCCCACCCCTGCCCCTTTCTTCTTCAGTCTCACAGCCTGGGGCCTTTTGGAGGAGTGACATCACATAATCAGGTCTTCCCACCAAGGTGCTCCAAACACAATCACTGGATGACTACCGCTCCGAATTGGAGCAGTTATCCAGTGTTCCGGCTTCCCCTACAGCATCGTCCACTCAATCTTCCGCGCATAAACACAAGCGAAAATGCTCCTTGTCTTCTTTGGTTGTCTCTCCGAAATTATTATCATTATTAGTGGCCCTTCATTTGTTCTCTGAGATTCTATCCATTTTAGTCCGACGATTCGACACAAGACCTCAGGCAGCTATCTTCCTGGACTCTGGTCCACTCCCAACTACAGAGGCTTCTACTGAAAAGGGTGAGCCTGTACCCGTCACACCCAGGGATCTTACCTATTCAGTTCACTCTCCTCTGGCACCAAAGGCAGCTCATGGGAGTATCCAGACCATTGTTGTATTTGAGTACGAGGTTCTCTGCCAAATATTGAACTGGGTAAGAGGGAATAAAGCTGGAGTACGCCGGCATTTGATGGTGAATGCACAAAGATAAGATTACAGACTAAATGTATGACTTTAGACACTCAAAGTTTTGGAAGACTTTAGTTTTAAGGAGAAAAGCACTTGGAAAGTACTTGACCAAGTACTTTCCGAGTACTTTTGTCCTAAAAACCTAATTTTTATTAAACAGTGATGGTCTGAAGTCATTTTATTTTGTAATCTTAACTTTATGCCCAAACCATCAAATACCCTTTTACTTTGGCTTTATTCCTTCCTAACTAGTTAAATATTTAGCAGAGAACTTGATACTCGAAAAGTACGCGACCGCAACGTTAATATTGACCTCTGTCCACTACCCAGGTCCATCTCATTCTGGTCCTTTGAATATTTCATTGGAAGAAGATATTTCCACTAAAGATCTCTGTCCTTACAGGGCTTGCCTTCATCTCCTTCAATGGGATATGATTCAAGTATTTGGCCTACCTTCATTGTCACCTGGTGAGGAGGACACCAAAGCTCCATTCTACTCAACCTGATGTTTCAGGTTCTGTATACAGTCGACTCTCAGTAATACGAGCTCGGGTAAGACGAGACTCTGGTTAAGACGAGTGTATTTGCTGGTCCCAACTGAATTATGCACATTCCTATGAGGAAAAAAATCCATAATACGAGCTCGCGTGTTACGAGATTCAGTCTAAGACGAGCATTCTGGGGGCCCCAGCTGCGTACAAATGTATTGTTATCCATCTAATTAGCACAAGCGTTTTTGAAGGCAACTTGTCAATCAGTCAATCCATTGAATTCGAAGAGGCACTTCCGTAATTAATTGTGTACAGCAGTAAAGCGCTGCGGTTTTCACTCACCAAGTGAAGCCGTCGGTGTCTGGTGCCGCAAGAGAGACTAACAATAGTCGTTTGTACCAACATACAAATTCTTTGTGGTGGCTCTCGTGCCGCCTAAACACAAGCGCATCCCTCACTTAATTTTTCACCAAACCCACACGCTGTTTTAAGCTAAAACGTACAATACTCAATAATTTATTCTCCCTCTACTGGCCGATCCACACCACCAATAACTGGTTCCCGCCCTTTTTGTGCAACAAGCGCAGCACTGATGTTGGTTACCACCTAAAATGTTAATGTACTTACATGCGTGCATTGAATGATGATCTCATCGCAGCGTGCTGGGGACGTAAAACAGCATCACTCCAACCATGCATCCTCCAACTCGACTTGACCGGTTTCTCCGTTCTTGAATTATGTTATTGTTCTTTATTTCAAGTCTTTATTCATGAAAAGTACAGTTACTTCTCACTTTCATAAACATAAACTGTTTTGAAATTAAATTCCAAACCACACGTACGCGCATACAAAGTTCAGGTAGGCCTACATGTATACATGTACAGGAAGTTGTACATGATGTACGCTTAACAATGCGGTCGACCGGTTACACATGCGACAAGCGGGACAGCAGCTTTTGCATAAGACGAGGTCTGGATAATACAAGCTAATTTCGAAAGTTCCAAGGCCCTCGTGTTAACGAGAGTCGACTGTACCCAGAACTTCCTTTTGACCATTCATGTGTGGAGATGTTCAAGAGGATAACTAAGGCCAAGAACTGGCATGCCTACTCTCAAGGATGTAGTACTTATTAACATTGTTTTCAGGAGGACTTTAAAAATTTTCTGTCAGTCCCTGATATTTCTGAGGCCGCTAAAGGTAGTTTCACAGCCAATACCAGCTCCCTAAGTCTCTCTTTCGAGACAAAGTTACGAACAGCCTGGAGAATACACATATCAAACTGGACAGAGCAACCCGGCTGGGTCTTCAATGTAATTTCTTTCTTCTACTGTCAAGAGTACTTTCATTTTAAGAAGGGTCTTCCATTCCACCTGACCTTGCATCGATAGCTCTTCAGTGCCTCAAGATTCTCACCAACCTGCGGCTAGGTGAACTCCACAGCATAAATCTTTATCTAGAACCTCTGGTTCCTTTTGCTCCTTTCAAGCCCCCGTGCCAAGAACGAACAAGCACCAACCCTCCTGCTACTCTGAATCAGCTTCCCAATGAGGAAGTGGACAGAGAGGCAGCAATTTGCAACTCTAACCTGCCCAGTCCTCCAAGGCTCCTTCTGGCGCCGGCACCACTGACTATTCTTCTTCACACACAGCCCCTGGATTACGAACCCGTCAACAGCTGTCTTCAATCTTTCGCAAGGTTATGAAGAGAAATCACCTCTGACAGATAGATACTTGCAACAGTCACATCTGGCTACTCCTAATTATGAGCACCCCGCTACTGCCAACTCCAATCCCCCACGACCAAAAGAAACGTCAAGAATTTGAGTCAGAAATACTTACCCTTCTGCAAAAATGAAGTCATAAGTTTTACCCAACCT